TTACACATGACTAATGTTTTCATGATCTTGGGCTGTCGAATAGATCGATAGCTGATAAGATTAATCGATGTGAGTCATGTGTCCACAAGGTAATCAAAAATAGAAATCGAACTGGAAATATAATAAAAAATATATGATCTGGTCGACAACTAAATACTACCGACAGGGACAATTGAAACTTGGTTCGTCAATGCAAAAAAGATCGATTCGCAAAATATAAGAAGATGCTTCCAAAGCTTAATTAAAGTTTGACGATTTCTTCAAAAACAGCCAGGCGCAGGCTTTAAATAAAATACAATTGTTTCCAAATACAAAAAAAAAAAAACTTTCGTATCTGGCAGAAATTTGAGGTGTTTTTGTGGTGTTGAGCTCCTTTACACAGGACTAAACCTGATTGGGAAGATGTTATGGGGAATGACTCTTAGATATGAAGGACCTATACGTGTTTGTTGTAAATATATATAAAAATATATATATAAATCTATCAGGACTAACAAAAGCACTGTTAAACACGGTAAAAGAAATAAAAGTTTGGGGTACATTCTCAGCAGAAGGAGTTGGTTATTTGTACAAAACCATTGGAATCATGAACCATCATCAATACCAAAAACATTTTAAATCGTTATTAAATAAACTTTCTGCTAAAAAAAAACTTTTGCCAAGGATCAACTCTTCCTCATGTTGTAAAACGATAACGATCCTAAAATACTGCCTTAAAGAATAAATTTAAATATATATAGAGATATATATATATATGATGAGGGTTTTAAGACAAAATCTTCCAGTGGCCTAGTTTAAAGCCCTTAAATGAACCCAATTTAAAACTTTTATGATAAATGGACAAGAAAAAAAAATAGGAAAGTTAACACAGAAGAGAATTTTTATAGAATTTTTAGAAATGCTGGAAAAAACTTAAAAGAAGGACAAACTTAAATTTGCTTGCCACGAAAAAATAAGGCCGTTATTAAAAACAAAAATTACCCAACAAAATACTAAATCATTTTTTTTTCAATATAATGTATATATTTGCATCTGTATTAATATTACGTATTAATAAACGAATTTAATAAGAACTTGTTTTGGCAAAAAAACAAAACCTACTTTTTATGGGTGCGTCTAGTTTTTTTACCTTATATATATATATATATATATATATATATATATATATATATATATATATATATATATAAATAATAAATATGTTGTAGTGGTTAAATGAGAGAAAAGTATGTATATTAAAAAAAAAGAGAAATATATAAAAAACAAACGTTTTTGGTTGTAATGTGGATTTATTTAGAAAAATATTATACTTTGTTTTACATAATTTTTGCGTGTATAGGTACAAATAAGTTTAATTTCTCAAAAGTAAGACAGTATATGTATGGAGGGGAAATATACGCACGCATATATACACGCATGCTGACAGAAACGCACCAAAATGGAAACAGATCCAAGAGCACATAGGGGTCACTAAAACATTAAAGATAAAATGCCGATAACTAATTTATCATCTCGCTGGACCAACCTTAATTGTTTTATGACCCTTCGCACAGAAATCTTCATTGCCAATTCAAGAAAGAAATTCGGATTACCAACACACAAACAGAGAATGTCTCATATCGAGAATATTTAACATTGAACATAAGGAAAAATTAATTATTTTTAATAATATGTGGAAATCTCCACTTTTACCTGAAGACGGTCGCGAGACCAGAAACACGTGTCGTAAAATTCTTTTTAATATATATATATATATATATATATATATATATTAAAACGATAACACGCTGACCGGAACACTGCTGCAGTTTCGACGGAACCTTGGCGGTCGGAACCGCGGTAGTGTTCAGGTCAGCGTTTTACCTTTTTAAGATATTAATTCGCTGTACAGCTTTTTAACGTGTACGATTTTAACAAATATTTTAGTATATATATATATATATATAATGATGCATGTTTCATTAAATAATATATATTTAAGTTTTTTCTATTTTAAGTAAATTCCATTCATAATGCCTGATAAGATTAATAACATTATCATTGAAAATGATGAAATAAAAACACCATATTGATACATGTTTTTTAATCCTATCTAAGTTTTTTTTTTATATAAAAATCATCAAAGCTATAAATTACATTACAATATATTCAGTTTTTTTTGGCTATTTCAATTTGCCTTTTCACAAGGCTAATTTATAATTCCAAGTGTTGATAGTTTGATGGGTTTTCCTGGATCATGTAATTTAAATTGTGCGTATTTATTTGAGCATTTTTCATTGATACATGTTTCATTAAATAATAATAGAAGACAGTTGTGTCTATTTATTTTAAGTAAATTCTTTTCATATCGTCTGATAAGCTTTAAATAACATTATCATTAAACGAAGAAAGAAAATCACCAATATTGATACATATTTTTTAATCCTATATAAGCATTTTCGGCTTGGTTAAGACATTATCAAAGATGAAATTACATTTCAATATATTAAAAACAATACACGGACAAAACAATAATGATAGTCTGTTTTTGTTGCATGAAAGTATATATATATATATATATATATATATATATATTATATATATTTATGAAATGGACCAAAGTCCGATATTTGAATTTAAGACATTTTTATGTTTATACAATCTTTTTTATTTATAAATATTTAAGTAAATGCTCTGTTTATAATAAACAAAGTATTAAAACATTTACTGGCCTGAATTTCTAGAAATTTTCATTTTTTTATGTGTCCTCCGACAGGAATCGAACCTGTATCCTAAATGGAAATATCATATAGCCTGACGTTTCTTCATCCATTTAAGCCACAATTAAAACGTTTTTTTTATAAGGTCGATTTTTTACTTTTTAAAACTACAATTCTTTCATGATTTTCTCATAAAAATTCTCTCATATTTTCATATAAAAAAAAACGTATAAACATAAAAATGTCTTAAAATAATTGTCGAAAGAATCCATTTCATATTGTTTTTTACATCATTTTTTACATTTTAATACGCATCGATATATATGAACGTATGATAAAAAAATTATTGAAGAGAGAGGATTAATAATTTCAAGGGATGTTTTGCAATTTTATATATATATATATATATTATGTGTGTGTGTGTGTGTGTGTATATAATATATATATATATTGATATTCAGATATCTATATATATATATAAATATATATATATATATATATATATATATATATATATATATATATATATATATATATATATATATATATATATATATATATATATAAATTGATAAATATATAATATATATATATATACATATATATATTTGCATTTATTGATGCATGTTTCATTAAATAATATAGAAAAAGTTGTGTCTAATTTAAGTAAGTTCCTTTAATATTGTCTGATAAATTTAATAACATTATCATGTTTTTTTTGTATGAAAAATTTCAAAGCAACGTCAAACTCGTGTATACAAGACGCGGATAAATAAAATTGCAAGCAAATCATGACATCATACATGACCACGCGAGAGTGAAAACGAGAAAGTATTAAGTATGGGAAGCCGTTGGTATAAATTTTATGGCTTCAGTTATCAATTATAAATTTTCATGCAACTAAAACAGACCATCATTATTGTTTCCACCGTGTATCCTTTGATATATTAAAATGTAATTGTCATCTTTGATAATGGCTTATGTAAGCCAAAAGCTTATGAATTGGATTTAAATGTGTATCAATATGGTGATTTCCTTTCGTCTTTCAATGATAATGTTATTAAAATATCAGACAATATAAAAGGAACTTACTTAAAAATAAATAGACAAAACTTGTCTATATTATTTATTGAAAACATGCATTAATGAAAAATTACTGCCTAAATATACACAATATATATATATATATATATATAACATATATATATATATGTGTGTTTTTGTATACATATGATATAAATATATATATATGATATTATACTTGTTCTATATTATTTAATGAAACATGCATTTATGAAAAATTGCTGCCTAAATATACACAATATACATATATATATATATATATATTCACAGTATATATATATATATATATATATATATATATATATATAGTATATATGTGATAGACATATATATTCTTATATATATATACATATATATATATATCATAATCATACTTTTATATATACATATATATACATATATCATATATATATATATATATATATATTATATATATACATATATATTATACCATAGATATACATATTTATCATATATATATATATATATATATATACACATGTATATATTTCACACACACAAAATTTGAACACACACACATATATATATATATATATGTGTGTGTGTGTGTGTGTGTTTCATGTGTAAATATATATATATATATATAAAATTTATAATGTGTGTGTGTGTGTGTGTGTGTGTGTCTTTATGAAAAATAATATAAAACGGATCCTAGAAAATTCAAAATCTTCTAATTGTTTTAATTAAATATATATATTTTTATATCATTTACGTCATCCGAAAGCTGATGTTAGTTAGACGCTTGGGGCAATGATTACAACACCCTATCTTTTCTCGTCCGGTCCCCACTCGCCTTTGCCATCTCAACAAAGGTAAGGTGTTTAAAAAAAGAAGTAGTAAAAAGTAAAAGGACTTCTCATCTTCTAGTGATTCACCAACTGGCTGGCTGATTCGTTGGCACTTCGGAGTGTTATTGCCCTCGCTTCTCGGGAAATTGTTATTCACAAGGTAACCGTAACGTTATTTTGGTCTGTTTTTTCGGCTTCCTTGTTTTGCTTTTCGCTTTCATTTCTTTGATTGTACAGGTAAAATAAATGTTTACCTGTTTTAAGAGAACTTCCATTTCAGATGGAGTATAAAAATAGAAAAAGAAAGGCGTTCTCATCCAGAGAATGTCCAATGGCGTTGTAAAACTCAGCATGAAATTGTACTGATAAGCTTTCAGGAAAAAATAAAAACATTAATTAAAATGGATACTTAATAGACGTCTGAACAGATAGATAGATAGATAGATTCCATAGATTTGATATATAAATAGATATTTATCTTTTTATAATAATGAAACATACTGAGATAGATAGATAAATAGATAGATAGATAGATAGATAGAATATATGAATAATAGATAGATGGATAGATTTTCATAGATATCATCAGAGATAGATATGGATAGATAGATAGATAGAAGATGACAGATAGATAGATAGATATAATAATGAACACACTGAGATAGATAGATAGATAGATAGATAGGGAACAGACTGAAATAGAGAAACAGATTTTGATATCAACAGACTGAGATAGATATGAACATAGATAGATAGATAGATAGATAGATAGATAGATAGATAGATAAATAGATAACGAAGATAGATAGATAGATAGATAGATAACGAACAGAGATAGATAGATAGATAGATAGATAGATAGATAGATAGATATAGACCAGAACAGAGATAATATAGATATTTAGATAGATAGATAGATAACAACAGAGATAACATAGATAGATAGATAGATAGATAGATAGATAGATAGATGAATGGATGTTCTGCTTTAATAATAGATAGATAGATAGATAGATAGATGAATAGATTTATAGATTACATAAATAGATAGATAACGAACAAGATAGATAGATAGATAGATAGATAGATAGATAGATAACGAAATAGACTGGAGATAGATAGATAGATAGATAGATATTTCATAGATAAATAGATAATATTTTTAGATAGATGAGAATCGTTTGAGAATATAATGATATTTTTTTGAGATTAACATTAGAACATAGATAGATAGATATATTAGACACCTCTCTTTCTCTCTCTCTCTCTCACACACACACACACACACACACGCACACACACACAAGCCATCACTGTCTCTTTGCAATACATATAAACAGATTGGGATATGGGTTTTAGATATATATGAAGAGTTTTAGATAGATTGTATAGAATTTTTAGATAGATAGATTCCTTTATACCTCTCTATCAATTCTCTCTTTCTCTGTTAATATACTTAATATTGTATATATTTCAATCTTCCTACCCCCCTCTCTGTCTCTCTGTGATAGGTAGATCACACATCTCTCTCCCTCTCTCTGTTAATATGCTTATCATTGTATATATTTCAGTCTTTCTATCTCTATCTCTCTCTGTATGTGATAGATAGATGATAGATTGCACTCTCTTTCATTCTCACTATATCATTTTTCTCTCTGTATATATTTCAATGTGCCCATTTTTCTCTCGCTCACTCTGATAGATAAATCGATAGGTAGGTAGGTAGGTAGGTAGGTTGGTAGGTAGGTAGGTAGATATGAAAAGATCAAAAGATGGATTACGTCTGTCTGTCTGTCTCTCTCTCTCTCTGTTGATATTTCAGTCTTACCAACTCTCTTTCTCTCTCTCTCTCTCTCACACACACACAAACAAACACACACACACACACACACACACACACACACACACACACACACACACTCTGATAGATAAATTTGATCTAGGTATGGTAGATAGATATTTTGATTGAGATAGATTACGCCTATCTCTATCTTTGTTAACATTTCAGTCTTACCAACTCTCTCTCTCTCTCTCTCTGTGTGTGCGCGTGCGCGCGATATGTAAACAGATTGCAATATATATAGATATGAAGAGTTTGAGAAAGATTATACACATCATTCTACCTCTTTTTTCTCTCCCCCCCCACTCTCTCTCTCTCTCTCTCTCTCTCTCAGTTAATATGCTAATCACTGTATATATTTTATTTCCCCTCTCAAACTCTCTGTAATAGATAGATAGATAGATAGATATGAGTAGATCGATAGAAACGGTTTCTCTGATAGTAAAGTGGATACAGAATAGATTCGGAGGTACAATCTTTTTTTAGTCGGACTTCTCAAACTAGGTCGGTAGATAAAAAATAAAAAAAACAGGGATAGCAACTCAAAAACAGGAACCCACTAAAATAAGAAATAGGGTTATTATATGTATAATGAAAATACATTGCTAATGATTTTACTATAAGAATGCATTGCAAATGAGAAAGAAAGGGATTGTCATATTCAGGAATGAATGCCTTACTGATAGAATATAGCTATTATATGTATAATGTAAATGCATTGCTAATGATTTTACTATAGGAATGCATTGAAAATAAGGAAGAAAGGGATTGTCAGTGGTCAGGAATGAATACAAGCATTAGTGATAGAATAGGGCTATTATATGTATAATGTAAATGCATTGCTAATGATTTTACTATAGGAATGCATTGCAAATGAGGAAGAAAGGGATTGTCAGTGGTCAGGAATGAATGCAAGCATTACTGATAGAATAGGGCTATTATATGTATAATGTAAATGCATTGCTAATGATTTTACTATAGGAATGCATTGAAAATAAGGAAGAAAGGGATTGTCAGTGGTCAGGAATGAATACAAGCATTACTGATAGAATAGGGCTATTATATGTATAATGTAAATGCATTGCTAATGATTTTACTATAGGAATGCATTGAAAATGAGGAAGAAAGGGATTGTCAGTGGTCAGGAATGAATACAAGCATTACTGATAGAATAGGGCTATTATATGTATAATGTAAATGCATTGCTAATGATTTTACTATAGGAATGCATTGAAAATGAGGAAGAAAGGGATTGTCAGTGGTCAGGAATGAATGCAAGCATTACTGATAGAATAGGGCTATTATATGTATAATGTAAATGCATTGCTAATGATTTTACTATAGGAATGCATTGAAAATGAGGAAGAAAGGGATTGTCAGTGGTCAGGAATGAATGCAAGCATTACTGATAGAATAGGGCTATTATATGTATAATGTAAATGCATTGCTAATGATTTTACTATAGGAATGCATTGCAAATGAGGAAAAAAGGGATTGTCAGTGGTCAGGAATGAATGCAAGCATTACTGATAGAATAGGGCTATTATATGTATAATGTAAATGCATTGCTAATGATTTTACTATAGGAATGCATTGAAAATGAGGAAGAAAGGGATTGTCAGTGGTCAGGAATGAATGCAAGCATTACTGATAGAATAGGGCTATTATATGTATAATGTAAATGCATTGCTAATGATTTTACTATAGGAATGCATTGAAAATGAGGAAGAAAGGGATTGTCAGTGGTCAGGAATGAATGCAAGCATTACTGATAGAATAGGGCTATTATATGTATAATGTAAATGCATTGCTAATGATTTTACTATAGGAATGCATTGAAAATGAGGAAGAAAGGGATTGTCAGTGGTCAGGAATGAATGCAAGCATTACTGATAGAATAGGGCTATTATATGTATAATGTAAATGCATTGCTAATGATTTTACTATAGGAATGCATTGCAAATGAGGAAGAAAGGGATTGTCAGTGGTCAGGAATGAATGCAAGCATTACTGATAGAATAGGGCTATTATATGTATAATGTAAATGCATTGCTAATGATTTTACTATAGGAATGCATTGAAAATGAGGAAGAAAGGGATTGTCAGTGGTCAGGAATGAATGCAAGCATTACTGATAGAATAGGGCTATTATATGTATAATGTAAATGCATTGCTAATGATTTTACTATAGGAATGCATTGAAAATGAGGAAGAAAGGGATTGTCAGTGGTCAGGAATGAATGCAAGCATTACTGATAGAATAGGGCTATTATATGTATAATGTAAATGCATTACAAATGAGGAAAAAAGGGATTGTCAGTGGTCAGGAATGAATACAAGAATTACTGATAGAATAGGGCTATTATATATATAATGTAAATGCATTGCTAATGATTTTACTATAGGAATGCATTGCAAATGAGGAAGAAAGGGATTGTCAGGGGTCAGGAATGAATGCATATATTACTGATAGAATAGGGCTATTATAAGTATAATGTAAATGCATTACAAATGAGGAAAAAAGGGATTGTCAGTGGTCAGGAATGAATACAAGAATTACTGATAGAATAGGGCTATTATATATATAATGTAAATGCATTGCTAATGATTTTACTATAGGAATGCATTGAAATGAGGAAAAAGGGATTGTCAGTGGTCAGGAATGAATACAAGCATTACTGATAGAATAGGGCTATTATATATATAATGTAAATACATTGCTAGTGATTTTACTATAGGAATGCATTGCAATTGAGGAAGAAAGGGATTGTCAGTGGTCAGGAATGAATGCAAGCATTACTGATAGAATAGGGCTATTATATGTATAATGTAAATGCATTGCTAATGATTTTACTATAGGAATGCATTACAAATGAGGAAAAAAGGGATTGTTAGTGGTCAGGAATGAATACAAGAATTACTGATAGAATAGGGCTATTATATGTATAATGTAAATGCATTGCTAATGATTTTACTATAGGAATGCATTACAAATGAGGAAAAAAGGGATTGTCAGTGGTCAGGAATGAATACAAGCATTACTGATAGAATAGGGCTATTATATGTATAATGTAAATAACTTGCTAGTGATTTTACTATAGGAATGCATTGAAAATGAGGAAGAAAGGGATTGTCAGTGGTCAGGAATGAATACAAGCATTACTGATAGAATAGGGCTATTATATGTATAATTAAATGCATTGCTAATGATTTTACTATAGGAATGCATTGCAAATGAGGAAAAAAAGGGATTGTCAGTGGTCAGGAATGAATTTTTAAGCATTACTGATAGAATAGGGCTATTATATGTATAATGTAAATTTGTTGCTAATGATTTTACTATAGGAATGCATTGCAAATGAGGAAAAAAGGATTGTCAGTGGTCAGGAATGAATGCAAGCATTACTGACGACAATTCAAAACATAGAATAGGGCTATTATATATATAATGGAAATATTTTGCTAGTGATTTTACTATAGGAATGCATTGCAAATGAGGAAGAAAGGGATTGTCAGTGGTCAGGAATGAATACAAGCATTACTGATAGAATAGGGCTATTATATATAAAATGTAAATTTTGCTAATGATTTTACTATAGGAATGCATTGCAAATGAGGAAAAAGGGATTGTCAGTGGTCAGGAATGAATGCAACCTTACTGATAGAATAGGGCTATTATATATATAATGTAAATGCATTGCTAATGATTTTACTATAGGAATGCATTGCAAATGAGGAAGAAAGGGATTGTCATGGTCAACATCCTGATGAATACAAGCATTACTGATAGAATAAGGCTTACTATATGTATAATGTAAATACATTTGACAGGAGATGATTTTATATAGGAATGCATTGAAAATCTTCAGAAAAGGATTGTCAGTGGTCAGGAATGAATGCAAGCATTACTGATAGAATAGGGCTATTATATGTATAATGTAAATGCATTGCTAATGATTTTTACTATAGGAATCATTAAAATTTTGGAAGAAAGGGATTGTCATGGTCAGGAATGAATGCAAGCTTTACTGATAGAATAGGGCTATTATATGTATAATGTAAATGCATTGCTAATGATTTTACTATAGGAATGCATTGAAAATGATGAAGAAAGGGATTTTGGTCAGGATATTCCTCAAATACAAGCATTACTGATAGAATAGGGCTATTATATATATAATGTAAATCATTCTAGTGATTTTACTATAGGAATTCATTGCAAATGAGGAAGAAAGGGATTGTCAGTGGTCATGTTGAATGCAAGCATTACTGATAGAATAGAGTCCATTATATATATAATGTAAATACATTGCTGTCCATTTTACTATTTCTGTTGCATTGCAAATGAGGAAGAAAGGATTGTCATTGGTCAGAATGAATGCAAGCATTACTGATAGAATAGACGACTATTATTATATATATGTAAATCTAACATTGCTAATGATTTTACTATAGGAATGCATTGCTTTTGAGGAAGAATGTTTTGTCAGTGGTCATGGAATGAATCTCAAGCATTACTGATAGAATAGGGCTAGACTATTATATATATTTATTTCTGTTCCTGCATTGCTTTTTTTACTATAGAAATTTGCATTTTAGCAAATTTTAGGATAAAAGGGATTGTCAAGCCATCAAAGTCTATTCAAGCATTACTGATAGAACTTAGGATTATTAGTATAAAATAATTTAAAATTGATTGCTAATGATTTTACTTAAAGGAAAAAGCATTGCAAATCAGGAACTGAGGATTGTCAGTTGGTCAGGGAATGAATCCAGCATTACTGAAGAATAGGGCTATGCATTATTGTATAATGTAAATGTGTTGAAGAATGGTTTAGATATTCAAATGCATTGCAAATCCTGAAACTTGTGCCATCATCAGGAATGAATTCAATCATCCCCATAGAATATGAATCTATTTTATATATAATTTAATAATTTAAAATTTCTGTGATTTTAAATAAGGAATGCATTGGAATAAATGAAAGGAAGAAAACAGTGAGATTTTCTGTTTAGGAATGAATGCTGATGCAAGAACTATTAACATCTAAATATTATTTTATGTATAATGATTAAATTGAATTGCTAATGATTTTACTATAGGAATGCATTTTAAAAATCTTGTTTTGGGAATCAAAGGAAGGAATGAATACATAGGCTAGT